AGGTTGCCCTCCACGGGCGGCGTTAGCTGGATGTGGCTGGGCCAGCTGCCTGTGACCTCGTGTGTGGCCAAACCGAGAGCGGTTTCGTGTCGGTGCTTCCTCCTTTGGGTGGTGACGTAAGGGCAAGTGCCTGGGCTGAGCCTGGCCTGACCATGCTGGCCACAGAAGCGCAGTAACCAGACGAGAAGCCCACACCGTAACCAGCCCTGCACGCAGCACCTACGTCAGCCTGACGGTGCGGAGGCACCCCTCCCCACCCTGGCCAGGCCTCCGTCCAGCGGGGTGGTCTGCATGGCGGCGTCCCTTGGGGCCCCCTCTGCTGCCAGGCCGCCTGGAGGAGGGGGCTGCCTGGGGCTCTGGGCTCCACTGCCTCAGCCTCCCGGTCCGGTCAGCTGAGCAGTCAGGCTGAGCCTGAGAGGCTCGCCAGGCCCCGGGGGCGGGGGCATGCAGGAGGTGCTCCCCGAGAGCCAGTGGGAGCTGGGCGAGGGCCAGGCAGGGCTGACTGAGAGGACTGAGCAGGCCAAGAGGCTACAGGGTTTGGGGTTGCCGCACACAGGGCCCTCTGAGCTGTGTGGAACTGAGCCCTCGTGCCCACGCTCAGCCGCCATGGCTGGGCCTCCGGAGCTCCAGTTGGAGACCAGGGTGAGGCCTTCCCGGGCTGCCATGGGCTCATTTCGGGGTTCAGCTCAGCAGCTTGTTATGTGCTGGCCTGTCCTCGGGAGCTCCAGACCTTGAGGGGTTCCCAGCCCAACTTGTGGGGTCCTAGAAGGGGGGCCCAGAAGGCTCCGATGTACCAGGGAGGTGGGTGTGTGTGTGCAGTGGCCAAGGGGCCAGATGACCAGGCATCCCCAGCAAGCCCCTCATCTGATTGCAGCAAGCAGGGGCTGGCACCTTGAGGCCGGCCTTTCCCGACAGAGGCGTGGGGCCAACCAAGGTGGCCGAGGGGAGATGGGAGCTGACCAGCGGGTGTGCGAGGGTGTTCCTGGGAGGCCTGGTGGCAGGCAGGTGTGTGTGGTCAGCAGGGGCTTGGAAGGCGCATGCATGTGGGAGGCCTGGGACTGGCTGGGCTGCGGGGTGAGGGATCTGGAAGCTAGCACCTGGCGGGTGGGCAAGGAAGCTCCTGGGGGCTCAGGAGGAGCCAAACAGAGACCCAGAGGGGAGTCGGGGCAGCTGCTGTAGCTGCTTCCCTGGGAGGGTGGAGTGGGGACTGGCCTGTGTGCACAGGTCCCAGAGAAGGCCCAGGGCTGCAGGAGTGGCCTGGCCTGCCTCTGCGAGGGGTGAGCATTTACGGTCCCTCCCCGCATGCCCTAGAAAGGTCCCCCACCCCCACTCCCTTTAAGGGCTCCCCTCCGGGGGCCTACAGGTGTGCGCTGGCGCCGGGCTGGCAGCCCGCCCTGTCCTGGCCTGGGCCTGCGTCCCAGCATCCGGTAGACCAGCCCGTGGGCTCTGCTCTCAGAGCCGCCTCCCTGCCCAGGCCGCGTCCTCACCCTCGCGTCCCGTGTGTTTCAGATCCTGCAGGAACGGGGCTCGCGGATGTGAGGGGCAGTTGGCAGCTGAGGAGATGATTTTCTTTTTCCCAAGACGCAATGAACCGCCACGTCCAGGAAGCTTGGCCGTGAGAAGAAACCTGCTTTTGATAACTTTTCTCGAGATCTGGGTGTGAATCCTTTTTTGCCTCTGAGGTGGGTGGTGAGAGACAGGCCAGCTGTCCGAGGCATCCCTGCGGAGGGGGCGTGGTGGCCGGGTGGGCGCCATCTCTGGGGCCTGGCTGTTTTCTCCCAGTGCCACATGGGGCTGCGGCGGCTCCTGACAGCCACCGTCACCGTGGACCCTCTAAGGAGCAGCATTCTTGGTGCTACATGGGCGAGCGAGCAGCGCGCCTGTCACGTCCGCACGGGGAGCGAGCCACCGTCCTCGGTCAGCGAGGACCCTGTCTCCCAGCAGCCGTCCTGGGCGGTCTCTCGGCAGAGGCTCCTGACGCAGTCTCACCTGGCACTGCTTCCCTGGCGTTACTGCCGGGCTGGGCCGACCCTCAGAGCCGGACACTGGCCTGGCCCCAGCTGATGGGGCCATTTGAGGCTTCTTGATGCGAGAGGACTTTGTACCCCCTTTCCCGGTGTGGACAGACTCCCCGCTGTCTGTACTCCAGAGACGCCTAGGAGTGTTGCTGCGCTTGGATCGATCTGTGAAATCGCCCGGCGGGAGGCAGAGGCTCTGCCCCGGGCCAGCACGCTCCTGTGCCTTCTGTGTGCTGGTGGGAGGCAGGCTGAGGCCGTGGGCCCGGCGTCCGAGCAGGGACTTGCTCACGTCGGAGGTCCCTGACGCCCACCGCCACGCTCTCGTCCCTCTGAGTAACTATGCAGCTCTTCTCTAACGGCTCGGGGACGTTTAAGCCTTTACAGGACCAGCCCCAGCCCTGCCGCCTGACCCAGCGTCGGAGCTGCTAGGGTTCTTCTGGCAGGGACTGCTGCCCTGTGCTGTGGACACAGGCCTCGACTGGCCTGCGACCTGGCTGGCCCGCCTGCTGCTCCCAGCCTCAGGCTCCCCGGGGAGCGGGCTGCTGGCTCGGAAGGCGAGGTGCTCACGCGCTCTGGCCTCCGGAGGCTCTGGCTGAGGCCCTCTCCTCTCCTCGCCAATGACCCAATTAACTGCGTTCTCCGGCACCTAGGGCTTACCTCCTCGTTTTGTGAGGCCTCTTGTTAAATGTTTGGCTTCAGTAGTTGATAAAAGCCCTCTGGAGGGCAGATGTGGCACCACTGGCCGCGGGGCGAGCTCCAGAGAGCTGCTGGCTGCTCGTCGGGTTATGACCTTGACGTGATAGGTAGGTTCGCGTGTTTTTTAATTTAAAGATGTTAAGACTTAATTCACTAAAATTTATTCCAAGGGGATATTTATACTTTTATACTTTTTTAGGTATCCGTATTTTATCAGCTTACAGTTTAATGCCTAAGTTTCCCCTGAAAATAGCGAATAAAATTGTATTTATGAACAAGTGCAGCAGCTGTCAGCATCTCGGAGTGCTGGAGGGGCCGCTGGCCAGGCTGCGGCTCAGGGCCCACCCCAACACCTCCCTCTGACTGTTAGCCGGGGAGCTCTGCCTCCCCCTCTGCAGACTCTGTGGCCAGACTTAGTGGGTCATCCACGTGTCTGTCCAACATGGAGAGGGGTGTGGCCGGCTTGGCCAAGGCCTGTGGGTTAGAATTATCTGTGCCGTCCCCAGCACGGCCGTGGGCTTTGCCCGGGACACCTCGCCTCCATCTTGCGAATGTGTGCCCAATCCCTGGGGACAGGAGCCATGGGCACTGACCGTTCGAAAGCACCAATGCCTCACAGGGTCCGCGTCCACCACCCTCGGCTCCACCCTGGACTAGAAGCACTTGGGTGACAGCAAGAACCCCAGGGTCGTCCCCTCCGCCGGTGCCAAGGCTCCCGTGGGTCAGAGCTCTCCTGCAAAGCCTTCTTCTGGCTTTGGGGGAGTTCAGTCTTGGGTCCTCTGAAGGGCATGGCTCCCTGAGGTCAGCCAGGAGGAGTTTGGGCCCAAGATCCTGGAACCTCGGGCCACCCAGACTCCAGACGGTGGCCTGGCTAATGGGCCACTCTGTCCCCAGGGCCCAGCCAGAGCTGCCCTATCCTGTGGCGAGGCCTCCAGTGGGAGTGGAATGAGTACCGCCCCGGCGCAGCCTGGAGCCTGAGGGAGTGTGAACTTTGCCTGTTGCTGTCCAGGGTTCTCAGCCAGGCAGAGCAGGGCTACTGGGCAGGTGTCCCTAGGCACGGCCGCTGGGCCAGAAGGGGGGTCCTCCTGGCTGACCTGGAGGCCTGGGCACAGCTGACTTTGTGGGGAGTGTGCCGCGGGGGGCCAGTGGGCAGGATCTGGGCCTGGACCGGCAGGGACTGCTGCCCCTCCCTCCTGTTGGTGTCCACCCAATATCACTAGCACGTCCCATTTTCCCCAGAGCTGGTGGCAGTGCCTGGCTGGTGGCCTGCTGCCCCCAAGGCCGTGGCAGCTTCAGCTCGGTTGGCACTGTGATAGGAATGGTGCCACTCTGGCCCCCATGGACTAAGCTGTCTCCCCAGACAGACCACGGCACGGAGGTTGCACAGCCACAGGGCAGGCGGGAGCCTCTGGCCTTGGGCCTCTTGGTCGTCCCCCACACTCCTACCTGGCCCACCTGCTGTGACCCTTTGCCAGGGTCTTAGAGGCCAGAAGGGGTCCCACAGGTAGTTCCTTCCTGGGCCTCCTGGCTGATCACGGTGCTTATGTGTGTGTGACAGGTGTGGATTTCTGGGTGCTGTTGAAGCCCCCAGGAAGGACTGACCTCTATGAACCTTCCCTGCAGGTGTGTGGCTGGCCCAGGAGGCTCACTGGGCCTGCCCTGCAGAACCTTCCTGCACTGTGGAAGCCGGTGCCCAGGTCTGTACTGTCAGCACTTGTCCTGCAGCTGTCAGAGCCCTGGTGCCACCCACCTGTGCCCCCTCCAGGATGGGAGAGGGAGCTGTGGCAACAGGCGTTTACATGACGACTCTCACACACAGCGCCTACCACGAGGTGTGAACAAGGAGTGAGCCTGTCCGTCTCCCCCGGCTCTGCTTCCTGCCTGATCAGGCTGTTGGCAGGCAGTGGGCGTATGGGGAGCCTGCAGGGAGGGTACTGCCCACAGCAGCTTACTGAGAGCCCTGTCCCCTAGTGGGACCCTAGCTAGACCCTGCCCCACTGCAGAGGCAGGAGGGGCGGGTGATGGGGCCAGGGGCTCCTCCAGAGCAAGGTAGAGGCTCCCGAGGCCTCCCCAAGGCTGTTGGGGGCACAGGCCAGCCCCTGCTCAGCCAGGAAGCCCAGGGACCCTGGGGCTGCCCTGCCCACCCTTTTCCCTGGAACAGGACCACCACCCTGGTCTGGGGGGCGTGCAGCAGAGGCACAGCCCAGGGGGGAAGGCCTGGGCCGCAGCAGGTGCTCTGAAGTATGTGGGTGCAGCGTATATTCGCACCCTTTGCCACATGAGTGCTCCCGGCTTTGCACATGCATGTGTGTGTCCAGCTCTGGTCCCACCACTGCTGCTGTGGACTCGGGAGGCCAAGGCTAAGGAAGGGGGCAGAGGAGGAGTCTAGGGTCGAACAGAGCCGTAGGCACAGGAGTCCTGGAGGGTGCCAGAGCAGCAGAGATGCCGCCGTCTGCCCTGCAGGAAAGCATGGTGACTCCCACCCCCCAAAGGGTGTCAGTGGGTGAAATAGGTCTGGGTTGATGCCAAGACGGTGCGTGGCAATGGAAGCCGTGGCCATACCCCCGAAGGCTCCCCTGCTCCCCAGAGACCCGGCTCCGTGCCTGTTGCCATCCCCATGCAGCGTGGCCCTGGCAGACGTTTGGAGGGAGGAGGCAGGGCAGGCGGCAATGCAGGAGCCCAGATCGCCCCAGCTGCAACAGCTCCGCGCAGGAACCACACCCAGCTAGGTGGCTGGCACTGAGGTTTTTATTGGCATGTGAACATAAATAAAAATACTGGGCTTTTGAGAAGGGAGAGTTGAGAGCTATTTACAGATGTCCGCTGCACCAGGCCTGGCCTGGGCTCAGGAAGGTGAGCAGCGCTGTGAGGCCCAACAGGGCCGAGTGCACGGCCAGGCAGGGCGCCGCGCTCCCCAGGGTCTGCCGGCCCTGAGGGTCTCGCTTCCTGCTGCCTGACCTCGCCGACTGGAACTGCAGTTCTGGGATGACCTGGTGGATCCAGTTGTAGTGGGAAGTGACCCGGATGTAGACACCGGGGCGGTTCCGGCGGGCGCAGCCCTCCCCCCAGCTGATCACCCCGGCCTGCAGCCATGCTTGGCCCACGAGGCACACCAGGGGGCCACCGGAGTCGCCCTGCAGAGCAGACAGAGACCTCGTCAGTGGAGACCTGAGCCAGCCTGCGGGTGCAGGATGCAGGCTGCCCCACCTCGTCCTGGCCCTCTCAGCCCCCAGGAGCCCCCCTGCTGGTCCTGCCACCCGTTGCTGGTGTCCGCAGGCCACTGCCACGGCAGGGCAGTGCCCGGGCCGGCCCAACCCTGTGGACACTGCGTCCCAGGACAGGTTTCCCAGAGGCCTGACTGCAGCCCAGCAGGCCTCGGGGGCCATGTCGGGCCGAGCCCCGGATGGCCCGCCGGCCTACCTTACAGGCGTCCTTCTTGCCCTCCTCGAAGCCGGCACACAGCATGTCCTCCTTGATGCTCTTGGGCTGGAAGCCGGACTCGGCGTCTCTGCTGTAGAGCAGGTTGCATCTGGGCGTGTCGATGATGGGCACGGCGAGCTTCTGCAGAGTCCGGGGCTTGGGCAGGCGGTCTGGGGGGCCGGGCGGCTGCGGCTCAGCGACAGCCTCGCCACAGACCCCACGGCCCTGGTCCTTGAGCCGCCGCTCTCCTGCCCTGATTTCACGCGTGTGCTTTTCTACTCACAGCGTTGTGCAACTGTCTCCTCCTTCCCTCCTCCCAAGCCTGGACTCTTGGTCTCCCTCCCCTCCTCCATACCTCCTCCCAGGCCTGCTGCGTGCCCACCCCGCCCCGTCCCCCTTTGACCCGACAGCACGTGCACCAGCGAAGATACGGGCCCGGGGCTGCACACGAGGTATGCTGCACACCCACCCTGGCCTGTACCTCGCTCACTGGGGCTGCCCCAGCCGGTGACCGAGCAGTTCATGCCTGTCTTGAAGACGACCGAGGGGCCAGGCACACACACGGGGAGGATGTGATGGGTGAAGGCCACAGGCTCCTCTAGCTCCACGAGGGCCACGTCGGCGCTGGACGCCATGCCCTGGTACTGGGGGTTGCTCTCCACCCGCTTCACGCGGGCGTACACAGCCTGTGGCCCTGGCTGCACCAGCTGCCGCGCGCCCAGCAGGACGCGGTACAGGGACGTCTCGGAGGTGCTGGAGGGAGACAGCAGAGTGCTGGTCGGGGCAGGCCTCCCATGGGGGCACACGAGGGGCTGTCCTCAGCCCAGCCCAGCACAGTGCCGGACACTCTTCTGCACGTTCTCATGTGCGTTCGTGCGCGCTCTTTTTTAATTTTCTTCTATAAGGCACGTGCACTTGCCAGAAAGAGAGGAGAGAGAGAGAGCGGCCCTGCACGGCGGGTGGCTGTGGGGCGGGATGCCGGTGAGCAGACCCTTCATCTCTCATGCACATGCGTCCGACATGTTTTTCAACCCTGCCGGGCCTGGAACTCAAACTGCAGTTGGCCATTCACCACACCATCTGCTGGTCCTGCACACTGTCACTTGGGAAGTTACCTCAGGGCCAGCAGGTGGCATGGTGTTAAGGGCACTGGACTCCCACATGGCTGACGACAGCTTGAGTCCTGGACCTGGCAGCTTGCTTTCTCGCTTTTTCTTTCTCTCACTGTGTTCTTCTCAAGTCAAATTTAAAAATAAGAAAATAAAGTTAGATAAAATAATTCTTTTTTTTTTTTAAGAGTTTTTTTTGCTATAGGGCACATGTGCTCACCAGAAAGAGAGAGACGGACAAAGTGAGAAATCACCCTCCATGGGGGATGGCCACACTGCAATCCCTTCTCCACTCTCCTCTCAGGATCTTGGGCACAGAAACACATGTGCCTGACTTGAATTTAAGCCACCGAGTCTGGGACTTGAACCACGGTCGACTGTGTGGGAGTCCAGCGACATAGGCATAATGCCAGCTGCTGGTTCCAATAAAGTAATTCTCAAGAAAAGTTATCTGCATGATCAAAATGACAAGGTGCAGTGGTCTGATAGGAGCTGATGCCGGGTTGTTGGATTTTAGTGCCCAGCCCCGTCCCGGGGCCCGTCACCTGGCATGAGCTCTGGGACTCCTTTTCCTGACATGAGAGAAGGGACACTAGTAGCCTCCCTGGAGGTTCGGAGTGGACCAGTGCAGGTGCGGCAGGGGCCCCTCTCGGAGCCAGGGCTGCTGGATTTAAGACGCAGGCTTTGGGCTGTCCACAGCTTGGTAAGAGAGCCAGATCCCACATGACTGGCCAACCATGTGGTCTTAATTCTGGCCCTAGTGGCTTAAAACCCATGCCGGGCATGTATGCATGCCTCCCATCCCTGCAAGGTTGGGAATGGGGGAGAAGGACTTGTGGCGTGGCCGTACCCCATTGTAAAGTACCTTCCCCCTCCCTCTCTGGCTAGTACTCGCACCCTCTGGTAACTGAAAAAAGAAGTGTTTTCAGAAGAATTACGGAGCTGTGGCGAAGCAAGGGGTGAGACGGAGACTCCGGAGGCTGGGGCTGGTGTCTCATGGCACGGTAGTGGGATGGGCAGCCTGGCTGGGGAGGGGGGACGGGCCTCTGCTGCAGTCCTTGAACCCATGTCTTTCCAGAGTCCCAGCGGGGAGGGGAGCTGGGGTGTAGACAGGGCCTGCCAGCAGCTGCAGGGGGCGCCCAGGTGTGTCCAGAGGACTCGCTGGCAAGAGCAGCAGAGCTCCGGGAGAAAGGGCTGGGAGCAGCGACCGCGCTGGAGGGAGGTGGGCCCGGGCCTG